CCTTTACACCCGAACACATATTAATGACACAGGATCTGTGGCTGGGTAGGCTGGTAAGTAACTGTTTCCTGTCCACCATATAGCAGAAATACTGAATACAGAAAAATCACGTATATATACGGTAGGGTAGCACCACCATTCACGGACGTGGCTGTAAATCACTGGATCCTGGCCGGTGATCACTCGCCCGGAGATTGCTGAGCATCTCCGATGAGGAGGACAGTTTTCCTCCCTGTCAGCTTGTTGTCAGGGCCTGTACTTGAACCTGGGACTTCTACTGTGTCAGGCAGTAACTCTTCTCACTGAGCTACCTGGGATGCTGGACAACACTCTGCCTCTTCTATTGGATAATCCTGCCTTGTGCCTTGTTTGCTCTTGAACCTTGAACTCCTTGCTCCTCCCATGAACTTCCTATATAAGCCATGTCCTTGGACTTCCTCCTTGCCAGATTATTGTGCCTTTCCAGCCAATATCCTGCTACTGTTCCTGCTGCTGTCTACTCCTCTGCTACTGATCTTTGGCTTGTTCCTGACCCCGATTTTGTCTCATCCTAACGTACTACGATTGATCTGCTACCATTTGTGACCGACCCTTGGCTTGTGACCGACTCTGCTTTCGTCTGATCCCTAACCTGTTGATCCGCTATTGGTTCCCAGTCTGCTCATTCCCTGGTGGGGTGATCCTGAGATCTGCGACCTGGTATTAACACGCAGCCCAATCCATCTCCACCATTAGGAGCTCTGGTGAATACCGGTTAATACTTAGACCCCGCACCTCAGGTGAGCCTGCGTCATTCCCAGGGGGATCCGCTGGTGTACCTTTCCTGCTGGTTCCAGGTAAGCCTTTTTACTGCTATAGCAACTGGTCTCTGAACCTGACCTTACACCGTGACACTTGTGCACACTGCACAGCCATCCAAAGCAGTGTGATTACAGTGAAGCACATGGACACAATTTATAGTAACACAGCACACATTTAACCCTTTGATCTCCCCAGATGTTAACCCCTTCCTGCCCAGTGCCATTAGTACAGTGTCAGTGCTTTTTCTAGCAGATCTGAGGGGAAGGCTGCTGGGATTCAGCGCAGTCCCGGGAAAACGGGGTCCTTAAAATAGATTAAATTTTCGGATTCTCTCCTCCTTCCTGGTCCCGATCTTCTCCTGGTCCCGTTCCTCTCCTCCATCCTGGTCCCGATCCTCGCCTCCTTCTTGTTCCCGATCTCGCCTCCTTCCTGGTCCCGATCCTCTCCTCCCTCCTCGCCTCCTTCCTGGTCCCGATCCTCTCCTCCCTCCTGGTCCCGATCCTCTCCTCCCTCCTGGTCCCGATCCTCTCCTCCCTCCTGGTCCCGATCCTCTCCTCCCTCCTGGTCCCTCTCCTCTCCTCCCTCCTGGTCCCGATCCTCTCCTCCCTCCTGGTCCCGATCCTCTCCTCCCTCCTGGCCCCGATCCTCTCCTCCTTCCTGGCCCCTATCCTCTCCTCCTTCCTGGTCCCGATCCTCTCCTCCCTCCCGGCCCCGATCCTCTCCTCCCTCCTGGCCCCGATCCTCCCCCTCCTTCTTGGTCCCGATCCTCCCTCCTTCCAGTGATGTCACTTCTGCCCGTGCGTTCCACGCGGGTTCCGGTGCACTTCCTCATATACACAGGACATCCCGGCTCCGTTCTCCCATCTTCCAGCCCAGATGACAGCGGCAGACCCTGCTAAAGGAGCGAGCTAAGGACCTACTAATCTGATACGTCTGAAGTTTGTAGTCATCTTGTGAGTGTTTTAACCTCTTTAACCCCTCCCCCTCCAGAGGATCCCCCCCCCCTCCTGACCAGGCCATTTTTTTGCGTTACAGCGCGGCGTTACTTTAATTGACAATTGTGCTGTCATGCAACGCTGCACCCAAATGAAATTTACATCCTTTTTTCCCCATGAAATGAGCTTTCTTTTGGTGGTATTTGATCACCTGTACATTTTTTATTTTTTGCGCTATAAGCAAAAAAAAACCAACAATTTTGAGGAAAAAAACAAGATTTTGGACATTTTGCTATTAAACATGTCCAGTAAAAAAATTTAAAAAATCAAATTTCATCATAAATTTCGGCCAAAATGTATTCTGCTCCGTGTCTATGCTAAAAAAAATCCCAATACGTGTAAATTAATTGGTTTACATGAAAGTTATAGTGTTCACAAATGGCGGTATAGATAATGAGATTTTTTTTTCTACTAGTAATGGCGACAATCAGCGACTTTTAGCGGGAATGCGGCAGACATTCTGACACTGGGGGGGGAACCAACTTGGTGTCACTGACATCCCCAGTGACACCAATGCAGTGATCAGTGCTAATAAAAAGCACTGACACTGTACTAATGGCACTGGGCAGGAAGGAGTTAACATGAGGGGCGATCAAAGGGTTAACTGTGTGCTGGGAGTGTATTACTAGGGGGCGGTGGTGTGTGCTTCACTGTAATCACACTGCTCTGGATGGCAGTGCTGTGCAGTGTGCCTGAGCTGACAGGGAGGAAGTTTGTAAACAAAACAATCTTCCTCCCCGTCGAAGATGCTCGGTAATCACTGGACGGGTAATTACCGGCCAGGACCCAGTGATGGACAGTCGTGGGCGCAAATGGCTCACGCACGCCCCCTACCAGGAAATGCAAAATAACATATATATATTTCTTTATTTATTTATTTCAGGTACTTATATAGTGCTGTCAATTTATGCAGCTCTTTACATATATATTGTACATTCACATCAGTCCCTAACCCTCAAGGGGTGAACAATCTAAGCTCCCTAACTCACATTCATATATACAAGGGCCAATTTAGACAGGATCCAATTAACCTATCAGCATCTTTGGAGTGTGGGAGGAACCCGGAGTACCCGGAGGAAACCCACGCATATATATATATATATACACATGTGATTCTGCTCACAGGTGCCCCCTGGAGCAGTATATCTGCTATAGGGTGGTCCTTAAGCAGTTAATAAACCATCTTTATACACATACTGCACTTAGCTGGCGCCTCCTGTCCCTCCCTACATAGCTGGTCACTCCCTGTGGACGGCTGCCGCCGGCAACTCTTTGGATTTTTTGTATATTGTGGAATTCTGGGCCTTAAAAGGACTTTGTCAGAGTAATTAGGACTTATAAGGACTCCCTTACATATTGTTTGCATTACCATTGGTCCTAGTTAAGCGCCAGATCATACTGTTCTCTTTGTGGGGGGAAGCCCCCTGCACCAAAGCACCCCTCCATGTTCAGGGCATGTGCCCTGGTGTGGTTTGGGAGGGAGTGTCAATCACCCCCCCCCCCTCTTTTCCTGACCTGCCAGGCTGCAGGCTCAGATAAGGGTCTGGTACGGATTTGGGGGAGACCTCAAGTCATTTTTTTTTTAATTATCTGCACTGTCCTGACATTTGGGGGATATCTGTACTGTTCTGACATTTGGGGGATATCTGTACTGTCCTGACATTTGGGGGATATCTGTACTGTCCTTTGGGGGATATTTTTTTGGGGGATAGACCTCCTGAAGGGGGAAATTAGATTGGCTGTCCTGAGTATCTGTACCGTCCTGACATTTGGGGGAGTACTTCCTGATTGATCGTTTTCAGATCTATCCCATAGTTTGTGAACTCTATAACTTTCCTACAGATTTGGGGGGAATAATCATCCTAATTTGGGTTATTTTTCACCAAAGACATGGAGCAGAATACATCTCGGCCTAAATTTATGAAGAACAATTATTTATTTGCAAACTTTTATAACAGAAACAAAGAAACGTGAGGGTTTTTTTTTCAAAGTTTTGGGCTTTTATTGGTAATTTAGCAAAAAATAAAACCCTGGCGGTGATTAAATACCACCAAAAGAAAGCTCTAGTTGTGTGAAGAAAATGATAAAATTTTAGTTTGGGTACAATGTTGTATGACCGCGCAATTGTCATTCAAAGTGTGAGAGCGCTGAAACCGGAAAATTGGCCTGGGCAGGAAGGGGGTGACAGTGCCGGTATGGAAGAGGTTAATAACAATGATAATAATAATGATAATAATAATAATATTTCTGATTTCAGGTTCTGATATCTCGATGCTCAGATCCCTGTTTACCCGGCAGCAGGAAAAAGTTTGGCTCTTCCATACATAAATGCTGCTATGAGTGTTCCCCGTGTCCAGAAGGAGAGATATCCAACATTTCCGGTACAGTTTGTATTTGTTAGTAAGTGATTGTTGGACTCGGCAGACTTTACCAATGTAGTTAACCGGTTCCGTGCCGCCCTATAGCAGAAATACTGCCACAGCTCAGAACGGGTGCGCACAATCATGTATATATCTGTGATTTCATAGTTCTGGGTAGCACCGCCATTCGCAGCCTCGGCTGTCAATCACCGGGTCCCGGCTAGTGATTACTTGCTGGCACCCGGTGATCGCCGAGTATCTCCGACAGGGGAGAGACCTGTGTATAGACAACACGGATCTCTCGCCTGTCAGCTCCTGCACACTGCTTTGTATGGCTCTGCATAGCAGCATGCTTGCAGTGAAACACAAACACAGCACACAGGTAACCCTTTGATCACCCCTTATGGTAACCCCTTCCTGCCCGGTGCCATTAGTACAGTGTCAGTGCTTTTTATTAGCATTGATCACTGTATTGGTGTCACTGGGGATGTCAGTGACACCAAGTCAGCCCCCCCCCCCCCCCCCCCCCAGTGTCAGAATGCCTGTCACAGTCCCACTATAAGTCGCTGATTGCCTCCAATACTAGTAAAAAAAAACCAATTCAAGTATATATCCCGCCATTTGTAAACGCTATAACTTTCATGTAAACCAATTAATTTACACGTATTGAGATTTTTTTTTAGCGAAGACACGGAGCAGAATACATTTTGGCCTATATTTATGAGGAAATTTGATTTTTTTTTTTTTTTTTTTTACTGGACATGTTTTTATAGCAAAATGTCCACAATATAGTTTTTTTCCTGAAAATATTTTTTTTTGTTTATAGCGCAAAAAATTAAAGACGCACAGACGATCAGACACCCGATCCCACCGATACACCCCCACGATGGGTCCCAACACACATCCCACCGATGGGTCCCAACACACCATCCCACCGATGGGTCCCAACACACCATCCACCGATGGGGTCCCAACCATTCGCTTTAGCTTAAAAGTATGTGCCACCTCCAAAGATCAACAACTGCCCCGGAGCCAGAACACACCGAGAATAAAAAAAAACACCACACACACCCCCCAGGGAGGGTGGGAGGAAAGCTCGCTCCACCGTTGCCGTATCCTGGACTGAATAGGATGACCCCCCCCAAAACCACACCCCCAAAGGTGCCGAAGACCCCACCCTGTACTCCCGTCACCAATCAGATAACCTGCCCATTTTCTAACTCCCACCTACCCTGCGCTATTTTCTTTTTCTTGCTTTTTGCTACAGGCATCTCTATCCAATCAATGTTAACACCTCAGCCACTTCTCAACTACTCAACTTAACCTCTACATTTAACCGAATACAATGGACACAAGCCACCACTTTACTCCAATGGCAACACCCTCAACCTTGCATTCTCCCACTTATGCACTCCCTGTAACCTCTCCAACATCCCTTTTCCTCTCTCTGACCACAACCTTCTCAGTTTCACACTTTCCCTGTCTCCTACCTCCCATGCCTCCAACCAGCAAACGGTTACCTGCAGGAAACTTGGCCACCTCAACCCTTCCCTTCTTCATCCTGCTACTGACTGCCTTTATGATAAAATGGCTCCCCTGTCCTTCCCAGACCTGGGCACGTCTGCCTACAACAACATTCTGTCATCCTTCCTGGACACACTCCTCTCACTACACGCAGAACCAGGCCTCACCTGTCATAACCCTGGCAAACAGATGACACCAGAAGTCTCAAGAGATGCAGTCATGCTCCTGAGCGAGTATGGAGTAAAACTAAATCCCTGAAAGACTTCACCCTCTACAAATCCCTCCTTCTCAAATACAGCTCCTGCCTCCATACTGCTAAAAAAAACCTACTACACGAGTCTCATCAAAACCTCTCTCATCCAAATCCTGTCAACTCTTTTCTATCTTTAACTCCTTACTTCACCCCACACTGCCTCCAGCCACCAACTTGCTTACTGCCCAGGATATTGCCAATCATTTCAATAACAAAATCAACACAATTCGTCATGAGATAGCCAGCATCCAGCTTTCTCTCCCAACAAACTCACCAAGTCCAACACCACAGTCAACACTTTCCTCTTTCAACCCCATTGCCACTGAGGAAGTTGCCAAACTCCTTTCCTCTGTCCACCTCACCACTTTTCCCCTGGACCTGTCCTCTCTCAATTACTATGACCACCTTCCTGCTCCATCCTAAACTCTCAAACCCACATCTTCAACCTTTCCCGCTCTTCAAGCATGTTTCTCTCCACGCTCAAACATGTACTGACCACCCCCATACTTAAAAAATCCTCACTGGACCCCACCTGTTTGAATAACCTAAGACCCATCTCCCTTCTGCCATTTGCCTCCAAGCTTCTTGAATGCCTTATCCACAGTGGTATGAGTTGCTACCTCCTTGACAACAACCCTTCTCAATGCCCTACAGTTCTGCTTCCTCCCACAATGTTCCACTGAAAATGCGCCATTAAAACTCACCAATGACCTGCTATCACGTACCTGGTGATGGAGGCCAATGGAGAGAGGGCTTCCCTTGCGGATAAGTTCCGGACTCCTCTGAGAGTGAGACAGCGGGAGTCAGGCCCAAAGTTGCACAGGTCGCCAGTAAGAGTGCTGGTTGGTGGCCTACTCAGGAGCACAGCTGGTGCACGGAGATAGGTCTACAGACTGGAGGCGCCTGTGCGTGGTATGCAAGCCTTCCGGGATTTGGATGTTTGTTGGTTAGTCAGTTCGAGCGAAGGTCAGGTACCGGGTGGGGATCAGAACAGACATGGTCAGATGGGATAGCCGAGGTCATGCACGAAGGAGTGAGAGAGAGTATCCTTAAGTCAAGCCAAGGTCAGATCAGGGGGTCAGTAGAGCACAGGTCCAAGTACAAGCTGGGTCTGAATCAGGAAGGCACAGGTAACAGGAAACAGGAACAAACCACTGTGAGCTAGAGATCATCCAGCAACCAGAGGAAGTGATGAGTCTCCTTATAAAGGATGTCTGGCACCAGATTGAGGCTGAGGTTCCCTTCTGCGGCCATGTAGAGTATTGGCAGAGACGCCAGAACTTCTGCTGTGGACAGGACCCTGTCAGTGCTCCCCCCTAAAGGGCAGCCTCCGGATGCCCACCTGGGCCATCTTTTCAGGATACTTGGAATGAAACTCTTGGAAAAGCCTGGGGGCATGTATATCCCCTTTTGGTTCCCAGGAACTTTCTTCAAGTGGGTACCCCTTCCATCTGACCAGGTACTGGATCTGTCTTCCCCGCTTTCTGCAGTCCAGAATTGCTTCAACCTCGTATTCCGTCTCTTCCCCAACTGTTATTGGCGGAGGAGGTGGTTCTACTCTCCCTGGAAAAGGATCAGGAACAGCTGGTTGGTGAGTAGGGAGACGTGAAAAACTGGGTGGATCTTGTATGATCCTGGAAGAGACCGCTCAAAAGCCACAGGATTTATTTCCCTCTTGATCTGGAAAGGGCCAATGTACCTTAGACCCAACTTCCGTGACGGGCATGGGAGTTTTAGATTGGCAGTTGATAGCCAAACTTTGTCTCCAATCTTCAGAGGAGGGTTTCCTCTCCGTTTCCTGTCGTAGTGTTTCTTATAATTGTCCTGGGATTTCAGTATAGACTCTCGGAGGACTTTACAGTTGTTCTGTAGCATGGAGAGCCTGTCCTGTACTGCGGGTACCGAAGCTTCGGGAATGGTGTCCGGTATGGAGGAAGGGTGGAATCCATAATTGGCCCAAAATGGCAACTGGTTGGTTGCAGAATGGACCGAGTTGTTGTAGGCAAACTCTTCCATTGGGAGCAGGCATGCCCAATCGCCCTGGGAGGAAGTAGAGAAGCACCGTAAGTACTGCTCTGAAGTCTGGTTTGTTTGTTCCGTTTGCCCGTTACTCTGGGGATGGTAGGCGGATGATAGGCAGAGTTCTATATTCAGAGCCTTGCAGAGGGCTCTCCAGAACCTGGAAGTAAACTGCACCCCTCGGTCTGAGACAATATCACTGGGCGGACCATGCAACCTGATCTCTTTGATGAAGGTCAGTGCAGTCTCTGGCGCAGATGGAATACCCACCATTGGTAAGAAGCCATCTTGGATAGCCGATCCACTACTACCAGAATGGTAGTAAACCCCTCAGAGGGTGGTAAGTCCACAATGAAGTCCATTGCGACCCTCTCCCAGGGATGATCAGAAATGGGCAGGGGCCTCAGTAACCCCCAAGCCTTGGTTTTTTTCTCCCTTGTTCTGTAGACACACTGTGCATGATTTCACATAGGCTGTACAGTCTTGATTCAGATTGGGCCACCAAAAGGATCGCTGGATTAGTTCCATTGTTTTACGGGCTCCAAAGTGTCCAGCCAGTTGATGATCATGGAAAGCCCTGAAAACTTGAGATCTTACTTTTTGGGGCACAAAGATCTTATCCTTGTGCCAAAGAAGGCCATCCTGCCTTCTTAACGAGTCTCATTCAAGTTCAGGACATAGTGCAGAGGCTTGCTTGATCAAAGACTTTAGGCTGGGTTGGATCAGCAAAACATTTTGGGCTGAAAAGATGGTGTTGGGGGGAGAAGGCTCCTCTGGGTCCAGGAACATACGGGAAAGAGCATCTTCCATCCCGTTCTTGGATCTTGGGCGGTAGGTTACGTGGAAATTGAAAATCATAATTGGGTGACTAGCTCCTTCTAAGAGGGATCTCCATTCTTCGAAGGCTATCTTGATCGCTAAAGGTTCCCTATCACCCACATCGTAGTTCCTTTCAGCTTGGCTCAGTTTCCTAGAACAAAAGGCTATTGGGTGCAGCAGGGCCTTTGGGCACTGGCGGTGGGAGAGTACAGCTCCTGTAGCAACTTCAGATGCATCCACCTCCAGGATGAAGGGAAGTGTTGGTTCTGGATGCTGTAACACCAGAGCGGAAGTGAACTGACCTTTTAACTGCTCGAACGCTCTTTGAGCTTCGTGGCTCCAGCAGAAACGTGTATGCTGGCAAGTGAGTTGGGTAATAGGGGCAATGATGGTAGAAAAGCCCTTAATACATTTCCAATAGAAATTGGCAAAGCCCACAAATCTTTGGACCCCTTTCCTGTCTGAAGGTACAGGCCATTCCAGGATAGCCGATACTTTCTGAGGGTCCATGGAGATTACCTCAGTGGAAATTATGAGCCCCAGGAACTGAATGGATTGCTTTTCAAACTCGCACTTCTCCGCTTTCGCGTACAAGCCATGCATCTTTAGAGTGTTTAGCACCTTCCTAACATGATCCCGATGGAGCTCCAGTGAAGCAGAGAAAATCAGGATATCATCCAGGTAGACAATTACGAAAAGGTCAAGGTACTCTCTAAAGATGTTGTTTACAAAGTGTTGAAACGTAGCAGGGGCATTACACAGCCCAAATGGCACCACTAGGTACTCAAAATGTCCAAAGTGCGTTCTGAAGGCGGTATTCCACTCATCGCCCTCCCTTATACGGACTAAATTGTAGGCCCCCCGTAAGTCCAATTTAGTGAACACTCGGGCTGTTCGGAATCTCTGGAATAATTCAGGCACAAGAGGAAGAGGATACAGATTTT